TTCTTCTTCTTCCAAACATTATGGGATCAGGGCCATCCAACAAAACTGACTGGAAAGAGATTTAGAACAAAATTAAAGCAAGGCTTTGCATAGCACAAAACTAACCTGTGGAATTTTTTTATTATACAATGTCAAAAGTGGATTAGATTCAATGGATTGGTTTAGAAAACCTGTAACCTCTGGGGTTGGAGGTGACTTGCCTTCAAATTCCAAGCCAATGAGGATCAGAAAAGGATGTCTCTGTATCTTGCTTACAAGTGTCTAAGGAGGATTTGGTTGGCCCGCATGAAAAATAAAATGGTAGACCTGATCCAACAAGATTGTTCTTTTGTTCTTTTCCAGATTTTAGATGTGAAAGTACTTTGCCCAAGATCCTGCATAGCTGCTCCATTTATATCAGAGGTCTTCAAACTTGGCAGCTTTAAGACTTGTGGACTTCAACTTCCAGAATTCTCCAGCCAGCATAGATGCCAAGTTTGAAGACCTCTGATTTATATAGATGTGTACTAGATACTGTGCTGGACAGAGAAATCATCAGACTTGAGATAAGTCAACTTCCTGTCTGATTTCATGAAACATGTCAAACTCTATGGTACTGGTCACTGTGCTTTGCAATACATGGTTTTTGAATTAGCGTCTTGTGTTAATGCAGGACATAATAACCCATTTTTAAGAAACTCACAGCTTTATGTGTTGTGTGAACCCAGCCAATTGGGGCTTATTCAGTAAACCATAATTAAGCAAGCCACAGTTTAAGTGTGTTATACAAGTCCTGTCCCTGTGCACAAAGGGTTTCAAACAAGAAAACTTACAGACTTCAAATCTGATTAGATTCAGTAGAAAAACATTGTTATGCTTTGTGAATCTGAAATGGTATATTCTGCACTACTAACACGGGACTTTCAGGTCCAATTACTCACTCAAAATATTAAATTTTGACTGGCAATATGTTTCTTTTGTGATATTTTTAGTATCACAACTCCATATTTCCAACATTTTGTTTAATTACATACCAATGATCACCACAGCTTAATTGCCCTTCGGGGTTGTATATTGAGCAGAGTAGCTGAGCAACTACTGAGTTGACAGACTGTGGGCTCATTCACATCTTTCTTGGAAAAGTTACTTTGCCTCTTTACATGGCATTGTCCACACCCTTCCAGCTACGTGCAGAGAATGTGCTGTCAGTTTCTGGATGACAGGAATGAAAGGCAGCACACATTTTCCTACACAAAGTATCCAGTGTTAGGTGTTAAACTTCTGGAAACAAGTGGAATAAGGTTGAGAAGGATGTGTAATATCTTTCCATCATTCAAAGGTTTGGGTGGAATTAAACACCGCCTAAATCTGCTCCCTTGTTTACTCTGTTGGTATAGGCTTTACTTGAATGGTTTGAGAAGTGGACAACTCAAAGGAAAAAGTTGTGTTGGTTTTGCTTCCCTCCTCTCTAACAATGAAAGTCATTTTTAACTTTTAGATGCTAAACGTTTGGCAGGTGTCCGTAAGTCCAAGAAAATGGACTGAATTTGATTTTCCTTCTTTGCCATTGTAGTCCTGCTGCATCATTAATTCTGAAGTTCTAAAATGGCAAAGAAAGCTTGATGTAGAACAAGCTGTATCAGGCAGAGTGGGAGATAAAATAATATGACGGTATTACGCATTTAAACATAAAGATGAAGGTGATCTTGGATTGTGCTTGACTCTTGGCAACTAACTGAGTAAGATGTGGCTTACTCAGGTCTTCTAGAATTCTCTCAATTTTCCAGTTCATCCTACAACTAAATGTTTTCCTTTTGGTCTCCCATCTAAGTACTAAACTATATCTACTATCTCTGCCTTAGAGCCCAGATACTGCTATTGGCTAAAGCATTTATGGTTCAGTTGTCATCTCCTTGTTGTGATTAAACCAAGGATGGGTTCTACTTCCCTTTACTACCGGTTCGCAATGGGGCCACATGCCCTGATGATGTCGGGGTCGGTGGGCAGAGCCTCCCGCCGGTTTTATTACCGGTTCTATAGAACCGGTCTGAACCGGGGGCAACCCACTACTGCATTAAACCCTTAGCAATATTCCTCTGTGGTATGGAATTAGATTTAAGAAATTAGGCACTTCTACCAAAAACCATGCAGATCACATTTCCAAGGATACTGCTGTGAAGCGCTCTGATTAGAGACAAAAATAATAAAGATTAAAACAAGACTTTGTGTGAGAAATAGGTAACTTCAGTGGTGGAATTCAATTTTTTTTTACTACCGGTTCTGTAGGCGTGGCTTGGTGGGCATGGCAGGGGAAGGATACTGCAAAATCCCCATTCCCACCCCACTCCAGGGGGAAGGATAAACCATCCCCTTTAGCCTTGTAGGTGTTAACGTGGGACATATACAGGAACAACGCTGATTTTAACACAAGAAAGGAGATTTAGCTTGAAGGCAAGTTAGCCTTCAAGCTCGAGCTCTGGTGGCTCAGCAGACTAAAGCACTGTTATTAACATCCACTTACATCTGCTGCCTGCAATTACTGCAAGTTCAAATCTCACCAGGCTCAAGGTTGACTCAGCCTTCCATCCTTGCTAAGGTAGGTAAAATGAGGACCCAGATTATGGGGGCAATAAACTGACTTTGTATAAATATACAATAGTATGAAGGCTATTGCTTAACACTATTGTAAGCCGCCCTGAGTCTCCGGAGAAGGGTGGCATATAAATCAAATTAAAAAAAAAAAGTTAGAAGAGAAAAACTATTCTCTGTAAGTGTCAATAGAGCCATTTAAACCAAGTTAGCAGAAGCAGGCAGGAAGGAAATTTTCAGTGGTGGATTTTCAATTATTTTACTATCGGTTCTGTGGGCGTGGCTTGGTGGGCTTGGCAGGGGAAGGATACTGCAAAATCCCCATTCCCACCCCACTCCAGGGGGAAGGATACTGCAAAATCCCCATTCCCACCCCACTCCTGGGAGAAGGATATTGCAGAATCTCCATTCCCACCCCACTCTGGGGCCCACTAAAGGTGGTATTTGCCAGTTCTCCAAACTACTCAAAATTTCCACTACCGGTTCTCCAGAACCTGTCAGAATCTGCTGAATAGCACCCCTGCTTAACTCTGGACTCAAACTGAGTTCAGTATTAGCATTTTTTGGAAATGAAAAATGCTGCAGAACAGGGCTTTCTCACCAGATGTTGCTGGTAATGGCTACAGATATTCAGGAAGATAGAGCACTCAGAGTGACCTTCTTAACATTTAACAATCCCCTCCAGTGATTTTTACAGGAAGATATAAGAATATTCTGTTCACTGAAAGACTCTGCTCACTTGGCCATGTTTTTTTATGTACTGCTTCTTCTACGAAAAAAAAGAGAAGAGGACCAGCAAGAAGGCAGATGGTCTTAGTTACAGCTGTGATGAATGCACCATTGGGAGACTTGAAAAAACAGGTTAAGGTTATGGAGAAGATCTATGTGGTTGCTAGGAGTCAAAAATGTCATTTTGACATATAATCAATCATCTCTACTATATGCAAGCAGAGTATCACGATAGTCCCTTAATGCAAACATTCTTTTTATAATAATAATAAGTTTCTATGTCTCTGGATGACTTTTTTGGGAAGCTATCTACATCCAAAGAAAGATTATGAAATCTTGCATCAGAATTTTGTTTAGCAGCTTGCAAGAAATCATGGAAACGTATAAAGTACTGACCTTCCTTTTTATTATTGTATCTAATCATAGTTTACATTGATTTTATGATATGTTATTCGACTCCTATTTTTATGTTGTATTATTATTGGAGAGGATGACATGAAATGAGTCTTAAGGAATGATTTGAGACTAACAGTTTATTGATTACTTGATTGAGGGTGTCTGTGATATTCACAAATATCATTACCTTTTTCATTCTTCCTTACAACAACAAATCTGTAGATTGGGTTGAGACTTTTGGCTCAAAATTGTCAGCTGAACCACCAAGGCTAAGGATAGTCTTGAATTTGAGTATCCAATCAATCAATCACTCAATCAGAATAGAGCTGGAAGGGACCTTGGAGGTCTTCTAGTCCAACCCCCTACTCAAGCAGGAGACCCTTTTCAGAGAGGTAGCTGTCCAGTCTCTTCTTAAAAACCTCCAGTGATGAAGCCCTTACAACTTCTGAAGGCAAGCTGTTCCACTGGTTAATTGTCCTCACTGTTAGGAAGTTTCTCCTTAACTCTCCTTGATTAGTTTCCATCCATTGTCTCTTGACTTGCCTTCTGGTGTTTTGGAAAAATTATTTATAAATATATATATTTATAGAATATATTGGCCACCCATCTTACCACAGGGTAACTCTTCACTTCTTTAACCTCCCCACATCATAGTTTCTGTACTTTTCTTTGATTTTGAATGAAAAATAAATAAGTCTTACTGAATATAATGGGAAGGAATTAAGCATTCTTTTAAATGTGTCTTAGACATGAAATCACAGAGGCTTACAAATATATAACCACTTCATTGCGATTCCTTGGATTATACAACTAGTACGAATACTAACATGATTTTGGTTTAGTTTTCCACCCACAGATAAAGATTATATTAGAATGTCCCTGTCTATCCCTGTCTATTATGAAGAAGTATTTACTTCTTCATATCAACCATCCAACTTTGACCTGCTTGGCAAAGTTGTTCCATGTTGTTGTGCTCAGTAAAAACAAATTGCTCCCGTAAGTATGCAGTGTTCTTTCAATGAACACGCTCCAGCCCCTGGCATACCAGAACTGTCACTGCCTTATTCAAGGATCACAGGCTTGGTATGATCACTAAGAAATATGTGCATAGGAGGTAGTGGCCTTGAAGATTTAATAGTGTTCTTTTGTACAGCTACTTTTGTCTGTTGACACAAGGGAAATTTCCAGCTGGCTCAACTACTGAATGGAACTGAACTACTAAAAAAAAAAAAAAAGAAAGAAAGAAACCCAAAACAAAAATGTAATGATATTTATACCCCTACAGCTGCCAATGAGCTTCCATGCGTCATGAGTCACTCCAGATGTGGATATAAAATAGAGCCCTTCTGTGCAAATGAATTCCCTGACTCCAATGAAAATTAGCCTAGGCTAGTGAGGTGCTGATACTTCACCCCATTACATGCATCCCATTTTGCAAAAGGAGCAGAGAGGAGAAAGATTAGCCAGCTGTGTCCTGGCGTACAAGAAACCAGACACTGTAGAAGCGGAGAAATCTCTGCTTTGGGAAATTTGCGATGCCCTGGAAGATGTTGTTCCTGTTCCTGCTGTGTTATAATGCTCATGGCACTGTGCCTCCCAGGTGGAATCGAGGTAAGAGTTAGAAATATAAAAACGTTATTGCTTCAAAGCAGGCATGTGACGCTGATATTTCATCGAACAAGTTTCTTTTTTTTTTCCCCAAATCGCATCCACCGCTTTTGTAGATTCTTTTCTTCTTGTTTATTGCTCTCAACCATTGGATTGGACATTTCTCCTTTGTGTTCTGCAAACAAATTTATAAATAAATAAGACAGCAATGATCTTTCTCCCCCTTAATTGCTATGAAAGTTGGGGATTAAGACAATCGGGTGTGTACTGCAATTTTATGTAGATGTTTTGATCAAAATTCAGGGCTGGGTCACCCAAACAGAAGCTCTGTCGGCCGCGGAAGTTAATCCAGTCCTTGCTGAGCCTAAACAGATTGAACAGCTCTCTGTTTCAGATGGGTTGTTTTTAAACACATTGCATTGAAATAGGATTAGATTAGATTAGATCAGATCAGATCAGATCAGATTAGGCTAGTTTGACTAAAGGAAACCTTAGTTAGCATGGAAGCTAACTAGATGATTTGGGGCCAATCAGTCTCTCTCGGATTAAGAAGAATGCATTGATAAACCCTTTTGGAAATACTGCTCAGAAAACTGCATGAACTTGGTTTTCACCAGGAGTCAAGTCTGACTCAAGCTTGTGTGCACATTAGGCCCACAGATTTTCAAACAAGAATCCTTTCTTGATGTTAGCTTCAGCAAGGTTGCTATATTAAATTCTTTAAAACCAGGGGTAGGAAATATCTGGCATACTGGATACATGTAGACATCTAGGGATAGAATAGATAGAATAGAATAGAATAGAATAGAATAGAATAGAATAGAATAGAATAGAATAGAATACCATTTCAGACAAATGGTTGTCCAATCACTTCTTAAAAACTTCCAGAATTGGAGAATTCACAGCTTCTGGGGGCAAGTTGTTCCACTGGTTAATTGTTCTGTCAGGAAATTTCTCCTTAGTTCTAAGTTGCTTCTCTCCTTGATTAGTTTCCACCCATTGCTTCTTGTCCTGCCCTCAGATGCTTTGGAGAATAGCTTGACTCCCTCTTCTTTGTGGCAGCCCGAGATACCACTCATCTAGAAGCTCCATAGAGTATGCCTGCTTCTTTCCTGATCACGCACACTTCTCAGCTCAAGTCAAGCATTTACCTTCTTTATCTTGCTGGATCTGTCCAGTGTAGATAACTGGAGGGAACTTAGAATGACTAGATGTTTTTGTTTTCACTACTGTTGATTCTAATTCCATCCAACAGAACAAGTTAATATGGAAATTACTGCACAACAGAGAAAAGTTCTCATATTTTCTTTAACCCAAACAGAGCTAAAATTCTTAGCTTCTTCCCTGAGATGCCATGCAGTGGAACAGGTAGTGTCTTGCATTGTGCATGTCACAGACATCAACTTCTACCCTAGAAGACAATATCTCTCTCTCCCATCTTCTCTGTGCCTTTTTGGGACCATGCATAAACTTAGAAGAGCCAACAGTGCCAATATATCTTACAAGAGAGTCGTATATTCTTATTCTGTAGCTTTGTTTGTCAAACTTGGAGATTTTAAGATGCATGGACTTCATTCTGGGAATTCAAATCCATGCATCTTAAAAGTTGCCATGTTTGACAAACACTGCTCTATAATGATTTATATTTCCCCAGAAAAGTCTCTGGCTATAGCATGATCTCATGGGGCAGATGAATTGGCTGAGCAGGAAAAACAGGCCAAATTAAAGGGGAACTATCCTTCTTACTGTCAGAACCCTTCTAGGATGATGTAGTATAACATAATGGTAGCCTTGTCCAGCTGCACTTTCCTGGGCTCCAGTTTAGAGTCTAAAATCACAATATGACCTTTCCTATTATTCATAATCAATTGGTCAGAGCTAATAGATGACAATTGGATAAACCTTACCTTAGATTAAGATCTATTTAAGAATTTATATTTTTGGGTATACCTGTGAAATTCAAGGGGTTGGTACTATAATGCTTTGATTAACCAAACATTGGCATGTTTGCATATGTTATGATGTTATGCCTGTGGTTATTATGTTTGACAAAGCTATGAGATTCCAAAAAATGTTGTAGGTAAGTAACTGGGGAGATGACAGAAAAGACCTTTGTTTCAGTAGTACAGAATTATATTTCATGCTTTTGTACTGGTGCTTTTTCAGGCACAAAGGTGGGTAGCAGGAAAGAGGCTAAAGAAGGGAAGCATAAATTTGTTAACCAGGTAAAATTAACACAGTGATTTGGTAATGTGTTCTTTACTACATTTGTAGCCCAGAACCTAATCACTTGGTTGTGTAATGTACAGAAGGAAAAGGTACTTCTTGATTAGGTGCTTAGACAATTGTATTTCTTATACTGAAATTCCTGTAGAACTGGTCCATTGGACTTGATGGTCAGATCATGACTCCAAAATCCCTTCCAACCCTTTAATTCTATAAATGTATGGCAAGGCATATGTGTTATCTACTTTTATTGGTTATGTGTATATGTGTACCCTGTTTTCCCCAAAATAAGACATCCCCTGATAATAAGCCCAATTGGGCTTTTGAATGCATGGCAATAAGACCAAAAGCTTATTTCAGGGTTCAAAAAAAATATAAGACAAGGTCTTATTTTCAGGGAAATATGGTGTGTGTGCATGGGGAGGGGGAGTTCTATCGAAGCAACCTGGTCTACCAAAATATGGGAAGGAGCATACTGCTTCCTTTTTGTCTTTCAGCCCCAATCCAGGAACCCTCAGGTAATCGCTTTCACAATGAACTATTTTGTGTTAAATTTATATTTACTGACTTTATTTCCCTTTATTTCTTTGTCAGTATATATAAATTTAACACTATGTTTGTGTGTGTGTGTGTGTGTGTGTGTGTGTGAGAGAGAGAGAGAGAGAGAGAGAGAGAGAGAGAGAGAGACTCTGTGTGTGTGTGTGTATATATATATATTGTATATAAACCAGTGACCTGATTGACTACTGACTCAAGGCCAACTCCATGAGGGCTGTAAAACTAATAATTTTCTAACAACTTTCACTGGTTATGCTTTTTTATGTGTTTTCCTCTAATGTACAGCCTTTAGGCGATATCTTTCACCATTCTGTCTGCAATTTTTAAATATAGTACTGCATTACAAAACACAAGTTCACAACCCAAAAGATAATTGCATTTTGATCTGCTCATTAGTCGAGGAGGTGTGAATTTGTGAATTTTGTCAGTTGCATTAAAATACAGACCTAATAAAATACACCAGATTAGGTAAGATTTGATGCAGTTTCTTTCTTAGATGGGAAAAAACTGGAACTTGTGGGAAATGTATATTTCCATCTTCACTAGAGGAGTCATTTAGGTCCTTGGTTGAGAATCATAAAAGTTCCATGTTCCTTTGGAGAAATTGAATAAGGCATTTCTTTTTTAAATTCCTGGTAAGATTCAAGTGCACGATAAAATCAGACCATCTCTCTTGTAATGTTAATAATATGGTATGGTCCCTGCTGGTTATTAGTAGGAAAATCTACTTCATACATTGGGGTTGTTGATGAGTTTGAGGTTCCTTTGGTTAAACCAACCCTCCCAGTTTTGCATACAGGCCTGGCATAATCTCACCTCTTCCTGTTACCCTGGCTCTGTGTTTGCTATTGCAAAACTTCCTACAATGAAGACGGAAAACATTTCTTAGCAGAATGATTGAGACCCATCCTAAAACCACAGAATTTTCAAGGGAAGGTTGGCATATGGTAAAACGTATATTTGTTCGTGTTTTTTTATAAGCCACTTTTGCTTGGCTTGAAACCCTGAAGACAATCTACGCAGAGAATTTCAGAATTAAAGGGGATTTATGAGACATCTGGTCCAAGGCATCATATATCATATCGCTTGGATATGAGCTTTTTCTTCAGTTTTAGCTAAATGCAATGTATGAAACAAGCCAGGGCTTCTGATTTAGTATAACTTCATCCAGTGTGGGCAATGTTCACATCACCTAACTTCAGTAACCAGAATTTCCCACCCAACAAGACAAGTTTAATGAAGGTTGGCTAGCATTACTTATGAAACCAGCCAGCTGAGATCTGTTTCTCCAACCCGTTTTTATACTAACCAGGGCATTTGTGAAGTCAGTCAGTCCTTGTGAGAATAGTGATTTAATGATATTATTTCCTGAATTGGTCCAATATGTCAGACTGTAGAAATATGATTTGTTTTAATTGAAATTTATTATAATACAATACAATACAATCAGTCAGACAGTGTTATTTTTCTACACAGGTTAGATTGAGTCTTCTTATACATTTCATCATAATATAACATAATTTACATGTGCATCTTAATATTTATATTAACTTATTATCTATTCTTTATTCGATTGTCAATCCACCTGTACCAATCATCCCACACCGTATAATATTCTTCCATATGTGGTGGTCCTGTCCCGAAGCAATGAGGTATTGGAGAAAAAATCAAAATTGGCTACAAGAATCAACTAATGAAAAAATTGAATTGATACCTGAAACATTTCTCCTGGGAATACTAAAGACAAAATACGGGGGGTGGGGGTGGGGGGGAGTAGATACTTAATTATACATATTCTCACTGCAGCAAGAATAGCCTACGCCCAATATTGGAAAGGAAAGAACACACCACCTGAGGAACATATTATTCAGAAGGTTCTAGAACGTGCCGAAATGAACAAATTAACGTTAGAACTAAATGAGAAAGAAGACTCAGACTGTAGAAATATGATTATGAAACTCCTTCAAGTTTTAAGTCTTGTTAAAACCTTCCAGCTGGTCATCTTAATTGGCCTCTTTTCTTTTAGTCTGTGGTATATTGTAGGAAACCACACTTTTTCAGTGCTAAATATCAGATGCAGCACTTGTAACAGCATTTTTAAGTGAATTGGGTGAATCAATTATTTAAATTAAGGACAGATGTCAGTAACGATCAGCATAAATCATTCTTTGTGGAATAACAAATGACAGAGACATTTTTTGTAAAAAAATATAAATAAA